CCTTGCCTCATAGGCAGATGCACTCAGACTTTGAAGTAAGCTCCCCCCAATTAGTCGACTTTTACGACATGCTTGTTGGGGAGGCAATGGGTCTATTCTTGTTTTCTCCACAATGGGACATCGGAACCCAGACGGAGATAGAAAAGGTTTGATAAAAACAAGCTGTGGCTTTTTTTATGAAACAAATATTTATTTAAATCAGATATGTCAGCAAATATGTTTTAATAATATAAAACAAATATAAATCCAGATTATAAAGTAAAATATTTTTGTTAATTTTCTGTTCGTTTATAGTAAGAGAAAGACTAATCATCCAGTGATGTTTAATAATTATGAGCGTGAAAGTGACTAATGTATTGAGGCTAATGTGAGCCTGGAATGTTCTTGGGCACTTTACTGATCTTGGGCCTGTTACATACATCAGAAGAAGGATTTGTTGCATACATCTGTTTCTCCCGTGCTAGTGTGATCTATGTTGTCTCACAAGTCTCTATGCCAGTGGTCTTTAACCTGGGGTGGGGGGTGGGGGTGGTGAGGAGGGGTGGTGAGGAGGTTCCAGGGAGGGTGTCAAGCAGTTTTGAAACTGAGTACATTGCCAGTTACTGCCTTTATTACTTTATTATACCACTTTTGCGGCGTAGGCGGGGGGGGGGGGGGGGGGGGTTTGAGCCTGGGGGTTTACGGCCGCATGGCTATTGCTGTCCCCACGAGTATGCAGGTGAGGATTTTATATTGACCCCGACTAAAAAAAAATCCCCAACCTTACCAAGGATTCGAACCCAGGTCTCCCGCTTGAGAGCCCAGGGTTCTAACAGTTCGGTGAGTGCATTGTATTTGTAATAATTCTTTATATTATTGTTCAGTTAAATTATAAATCAAAATTTGATTAATATAATATAATAATAGAGGCATTTATAGATTAAGAATACAATCTAGCCAAAATATAACTCCATGCTGTTTGATTCCCTTATTGAGGAATCTATTGTTCTTCTCATTTTAATTAATAACATTTTGTAATGATGGGGGTGGAGGCATGGATTTTGCCATATACTCAAGGGATCATTGGGGTCTTGCCATATACTTAAGGGATCCTTTCCATATACTCTAGGGGTCATGGGGATCCTTGTCATATACTCAAGGGGTCATTGTGGTCTTGCCATATACTCAAGGGGTCATGGGGGTCTTGCCATTTACTTGAGGAGTCATGCGGGTCTTGCCATATACTTGAGGAGTCATGGAGGTCTTGCCATGGTGTGCGAACTAGGGGGAAAAAAGTTGGAGATCACTGCTCTACACACAGATGAAGTGTACACCATCTGTATATATATAGCTCAGTCTCTCATGTGTACATCAAATGGGCAACACATGGTTTCCATAAAACTTCCCAGGCTTTGAGCTGTAAGAAATACATACAGACAAGTCTTGCTAGTATGGGTCATGTTTTCCATTCCTCCCAACATAACACCATCATTTGAAAAAAAAGAACAATGCAAGTCAATCAGTCAATAAATTACAGCATGTCCCTGCACCATTGTTGTTTCTAGCTGCTGGGGGCAGCTCCGTAACACAATAAAACACGCTGGATCTAGCTGCTGGGGGGCTGCTCCGTAACACAATAAAATACACTGGATCTAGCTGATGGGGGGGGGGGGGGGGGGGGGCTTCTCCGTAACACAATAAAACACACTGGATCTAGCTGCTGGGGGCTGCTCCATAGCACAATAAAACACACTGGATCTAGCTGCTAGGAGCTGCTCCATAACACAATAAAACACACTGAATCTAGCTGCTGGGGGCTGCTCCCTAACACAATAAAACACACTGGATCTAGCTGCTGTGGGCTGCTCCATAACACAATAAAACAAACTGGATCCAGCTGCTGGGGGGCAGCTCCGTAACGCAATAAAAAAAAATGGATCTAGCTGCTGTGGGCTGCTCCGTAGCACAATAAAACACACTGGATCCAGCTGCTGGGGGGCAGCTCCGTAACGCAATAAAAAAAAATGGATCTAGCTGCTGTGGGCTGCTCCGTAACACAATAAAACACACTGGATCTAGCTGCTGAGGTCTGCTCCGTAACACAATAAAACACACTGGATCTAGCTGCTGAGGTCTGCTCCGTAACACAATAAAACAAACTGGATTTAGCTGCTGGGGGCTGCTCCGTAGCACAATAAAACACACTGGATCTAGCTGCTGAGGTCTGCTCCGTAACACAATAAAACATACTGGAAGAGCACTGCATAAACTCTTTCTGCTACAGATAAATTATACTTAGTCTTTCCTAAAGCTGTTACCAGGGCTGCCGAAGTTTTTTGGGGGGGAATAGGACAAAATTTTGTTTGCAAAAGGTACCAAAACAAAATAAAAGGTACCAAACTGCTAAAAAAGAGCGTTAAAATGTCTTTAAACACAGACGCACATGCTTGCATGCACTCTGACTTTTTGTATTTTACCACAGCTGAAATTATGTGTCCATTACATCATTGCTTTATAATATTTTGTTTCGCTCAGTTTGTTACAAAGTAACAGTATGTGCAGTTAATGTCCTGGAGCAATAAATTTGAACTCATCAATGCATTTAATGTTGAAGTTGCCAAAGTAAAGCAATTCCAGTCACTTTTTTTAAAAGGTACAACACAATGCCAATATTTAACATATTATTGCAAAATTTCTAAAACTTACTAAAACATTGGATGTGGTACCAAAAGTACAGTTTTGCTCGGCAAGGGTCAAACAGTATCAAATTTGCATGAAAGTACCAACTTCAGCAGCCCTGGTTATTACTCATTTGAAAATAAAGTTTGTTTGTTCATTCATTTAAGAATCACCAACACAGCATACCAGGTCTACCCAACGATGCTCCATTACACGCAGCAAATGTCTAATGGTGTAGATTTGCTGGCTGTTCTAGTAGCATACTGGCTGTACACATCTGATACTCTTAGTCACATACATCCTTACTTACCAGATCCACATTTATTTCAAAATGTACGCAACCTGATGCACGCTTATCTTGAATTTTAGAGGAAAGAAATTCATTCATTTTTGTGCTTCATTACATTTGTTATGCACCTGATGAGATACAGTCAAACATGCCAGCAGGCAGTAAATTAGTCAATATATTGTTTGCATCCGCAATATTTGAATATGTATGGATATATACATTTATATATTTATCTGTAAAAATATGGCAACATGAACAAAACGTTTTATGGCGGCAGTGATGTGGTTTCAGAGTAAAAAAAGAAAGAATACTATAACAGGACAAAAAATATATAGGCAGTCCTTCAAGTAAAAGATTAAAACTGTAAACTGATTAGTGCTTGTTCCCAACTTGATCCTGTAGCTGATCCTCTGAGACGTAGTGCTTGTGATGGTATCTGATCTTGCTGCATTCTTATGAGATGGCAAAACCGCATGATCTGCTGTTACTCGATGAATCTAGTACAATGTGTTGTTCCCACAATCTGTCTGACAGTATCACTATTCACTCGATCTCAATGAAACGTTTCTTGTTAATTAATCATCGTCAATTTCCACTTTTGCCGTTAAGTGTCATAAAGAGGAACAGTTTGCTATACACTGCTTGATGGGCAGCAATGGCTGTTGTAACTCCTTGTCCCTACAGAAGCACCTTAACGTCATCAATCCATCTTCTCCTAGGGTGTCTTCTTGCTTTCACATTAGATATTTCATGTGAAACACCTGCGTTGTTAGTTGTTTTGGCTGCATTCTTATCAGATTATCAAACCATTTGATCTTCTGTTTCTCAATCAACTTGCTGCATGGTGTTGTTCCCATAGTTTGATAATATCATTTATAACTTTGTCTCAGATGGTTAAGTTAGCGGTTTTTCTCAGGCACTTCATTTCACAGGTGCTAATTTTATGTAGATTAACCTTTCATAATTTCCAAGTCTGGCACTGGTAGTATAATGATGGTATGAATATGCTGTTTATAAACTGTTTCTTGGTGCTCAGACTTATGGTTGGATGTTTTAATAATGGTGATAGTTGGTATATAAGTGCACTGGCTCACTGGTATCTCGTTTCTCTTTCCCGAGCTACTCTCCCGTCCTCTGATAAATTAATGTTCAATTAATTATATATGTTACAGCAATACACTTACCCATTTATTTGAAATCTTGTGAATGCCCAGAAAAGTCACTCCCACTTGGAAATTTGTGAAAACCAAATAAATTCAATATAAAACATAATATTTAACATCAAAAAATATCTTTCATGTTGTAAAGCATGTATGATGTTACTGATCTTCTTTCCTGTACCAAAGTAACACAACTACTATCTTCTTTGACATTTAAACACAGCAACAACTGTAGCAAGAATTACTTCCTTCCTTGTGTTGACTAAATGACCGTATTTTTAATGACCCTATGGGCTACTACGTGAAGGCTTGACCACCCCAGCAATTCAGTATGTTACATTCTTGATGGCAATCTAACAGGGCAAAGCCTACATATATTGTTAAACCTCTTGAGAAGTTATAATTAGGGTGCCCTTAATGGCTGTACAAAGCAAAAGCCCGGTATACCTTGCTGTTCAAAGTAGGTCAGTTAGTGGGCCTGAGGAGTGTTCCCTGTGTCAAATGAGCAAACATATTGTTTCCATATAATGATAAATCATCATCATCATAAACCACTTCTGCCATTATGCATCATGGGTAGGAATATTTTGTGATTCAGTGCACGCTGGCTGGCACTGGCTATTATGGTGTAAAGGTCTTTAATGTTGTCGATCCATGATTTCCGTGACCGCCCTTTTGCTCATGTAGCTTCTGAGATGTTGTTCCTGTGATGTTATTTGATGTTGCTGCATTCTAATGAGATGGCCAAACCACTTTATCTGCTGTTTCTTGATGAATTTTATAGAAGGTGTCATTTCCACAATCTGATATCAGCTTTATTTACTCGATCTCAGAAAGTTTGATAATCATAAATATGTGATCACAAACATAACGTTATTTCAACATGTTTACTACTATTTCCTAGGAAAGATCACAGTAGAATATAACTGTTTACCCTGTCCATTTATAAATAAAAGTGTTAAATTATTTGAAGTTGCTTCTGCATACAAGAAACCTCCTCTTGAAAGAAGGTGTCCATAATGAAACAAAGAAGATCCTGCTGGCACTTTATTCTCACTGAATGCAGTCGGATCTACAGTGTTGGCCATGCCAGATACAAAGTAGTCAATGCTGCCCCCAGAACTGGATTTAACTTGAAGATGCTGTGAAGGGAAAAAATATGTCTTGTTTTCACTGCTCGGTGTTGGTTTACAAAATTTATCTGGCTAAAACTTAGCATAAATAAGAAATAAAAAAGAATTATAATAATTTTCTCGAGCATGTTTTCTCACTGGATTTTGAAATGCTATTTTTTTTTAAGCTAAAACTGACATGAAGATGCTGGGAAAGAAATAAGAAATTTAATTTACCTATTTAATGTTATTCCGCTTGATGTTAACAGACTACATGTGTTAGCTTAAAATTTATTAGTAATCTTTGATCTTGCAGATCTGGTTTGATAAGGATGGTGTGCTCTTTCTTGATTTATGTTAGTGGATTACACATCTAGGCTTCTTCTAGGGGGCTGCATGGTCTCGAGGCATGGTGTCCACCTCAAGTGCTAGAGTTTCCGGGTTCAATCCCCGGTAAGGGCTGGGATTTTTTCACGTGGATTTGGATTTCTAGTAATTTCCCCTAGTCTTTGGGTCGTGAGATTAGACGCATGTGTACATTGCTGTGCACATAAAAAATCCCTTGGCAGTTGCAAACTGAAACGAGTAGCCTAACGGCACTGCCCGGGCAAAATTTGCAGTTAAAAATCTAAAAGTATTTCAGGATTCTCGTTGGTGCTACAGAGCATGTGCACTGTGCTGAGCTTCTCTGGACTCAGACTTGAGTTAGAAGAAGAACGTAGCACTTATGGGTTACTACCCGTGTGCCATGATGTTGATCCGTTGTTCAAAACCTCAAAATATCTAGGCTTCTTGGACAAGGATACAAAACTGAGGATCAGTTATGTATTTTTTGTGTCTACATTATTTAAGTTTACAACCGGAAAACACCGTTTTGGACTTCTTTCTGAGTATGTCAAAGATGGTATATCTTAAATGTACACCTAAAGCACACACAAATATAATCAAGCTGCTTCTGGTATTATTGGTACTGGAACTCTTTGCTGGCTGCTGAAGATGAAGATTGATCTCCTATGAGAATGCCCCAAATGCTGTGATGTCAGTTCTTAACTCAAACTCCCCGGTCAAAATGGATGATAGGTAGGGTCACTGTTTTTAGTGATGGCAATTTTTTAAAATCTGACAGCTGGTGGCCGTTGCATTTTCATCTATTTTTAGACTGATAGGATAAAGTTTTGTCAACCAGATACTGAGCTGAGTGCATGGCATGACACTGTGAGATGCAGATTTCATTTGGAATGTTTTTCAACTGTGACCAATGTGGTGTTGTGAACTGTAGATTCATAAAATGGTGCATGACCTGTTGCCGCAGAATTGGTGGTGCCTTATGTGAATAAAATTGATTGCATGTGCAACTGCTGATCTGTTTGTAACTGCTGCTTCCATCATCGATGAACTGCATTTCTAATGTTGGACTGTTTGTGTTAGCACTTCTGATGGCTGCCTTATGCTTTTAAAACATGTTTATGTTAATGGATATGCCGAGACCGCAGTCTGTGTTGATTTTTCCAAAAGAGACAGTTATGAACATTCTTTGCATTTTTCGTTGGCACATGAGCAACAATGGGGTGACCAGTTTTCTATAAAGCTGAAACTAAGATTACCAACTCAAACTAAAGCAAATACTTTACCTGCAGATTGTGGTCATGTCCAGAAAAATAGCCGTTAGCTCTGTATTTGTCCAGCATTGGCTGCAATCTGTCCACCAAACATTTAGTTGGACCATGATATGCTGTTGAGTAGACTGGGTAATGACCAGCAACAAACAGGTAATCTGCTCTGAAAATATATGAAATGGGTTTTATACAGTAAGGTTGTGAAAAACTTCAGTCCATGCCCTGTGACCATGGTTATTATGTCTGTCTACATCCTTGTGTCATGTGTAGTGCTTATCAATTTTGATGCAAATATACCACCATGCTATGGCACAAAACTGAAATTTTCTTTCCTGGATTTTAGATGCCTCTTCTCCCTTATCTACTTCTGACATGGGTAACCAAGTTTTTGTCATGAGTGAAATTCCTTTTATTTGTCTGTGGTGTTATAATCATTCTTTTACTTTTTTAGTCTTAAGCAATGTCTCGCATGTGAGTGGCTCCATCCCTTGATTCCCTTCACAGTATAGTGTGTTCTCTTAATTTTAAACTTTAGTCAGAATATACTTCTTTAAAAAAATGTTGGTTATTTCAATGGTAACTATTACTGTTTTTCATCATCATCATCATCATGTAACACTACGTGTCTTTGGGTCACCAGTTTCTGTTGACTGTCTGATCAGTTCTCTCCACCTGTGGTGGTCAGTTGCGATGGACTTCATGGCTGCATGCCTGAGGCCTGTCCAGTCAGTCAGGTTTTGTAATCAGGTCTTTCTTGGTCTGCCTCTTCTCCTCTCTCCCTCTACTGAGCCCTGCAGTATTGTTTTTGAGAGGCTGTTAGATCTTATTACATGTCCATCTGTTGCATTTTTCGCCTTTTCACCGCAGTTAAAAGAAGTTCATAGTTGCCAATGAGCTGTATAATTTTATGGCGAACCTCTTCGTTTGTAATGTAGTCTCTGTATGATATGCCAAGAATTTTTCTGAAACATTGCATTTCTAATGCTTGTATCATTCTTTAAGTTCAGCTGTTAGGGTCCACGTTTCACATGTAAATGTACTAACAGCTAGTGCTCTGAGAAATCAAATCTTAGTTTTACATGAAATGTTTATACTGCACTTGCAAGTAAAACTTTCATGATTTATCACCAATTCCCTGACTGACAATTCACTTCTAAAATTGTTAAATGCATTCCTTAGCTGATAAGCCTCAGAGCTGCACATTCTGATTCTATACTAGGTTGTTTTATTTTCGATGGATGTCCCTAACTAATCTACTCCTAGGACATGCTTGTTGGGTCTTTCCTTGTTTTCCCTATAACGGGGCCCTAGCACCGTCACAGAGACAAAGCCCCATTGAAAGACATAATTTTTTGCTAGTTCTCTAAACTCATGTATATTCATATTCTTCTTCCTCTTCTAGTCCATACTGTGTGGTACTGTCTATCCACAACCTTTGGTCTTGTGTACTTTCAGTCATCTCTGACAGATGATCTTCTAAAGCATGATATCAGACTGTTCAGCATCTTCTCTCCTAATCTAGTTCAGATCGCCCACACCCCCCTCCCCACCATTCATCTATAAAACCCCATCTCCACTGTTTCCACATATTTTTTCACTAACTGGCCGACTGTCTATGATTCCCTTTCATATAACAGGATATGATTTATCAGGACATGGTTTACATAACATTTCATTATTATCTTTCTCACGCCAACTGACAAAAAATATCACATAAAATATTCTGTGTCCATGGTCATGATGATTAATTCCTTTCTTTCTCTTGCTCCATATACTCCTATTATGAAAGCTGCATTCAGCTAAAGAATGAATCCTCAACATTATTACCTGCTTTTCTGCAAAGCTTGACTGATAAAAATCCACTGCTCCTCAGCTAAATGCTTGTCCTCAGGTCTGCTAATAAGCTCAGTACTCAGATCATCTAAATGCCCACACAACAGAACAGTATCTATAAAAATTAAACCAAATGTGTGGTTTCCAGTCCCAACAGGGAATTCCCGATAGTAGTACAGACTTGGAAAGTTCCTGCAAATGTTTACATAAAATAATGGTTAGTGTCATTACAAATATTGTCAGATTACAATAAAGGGTGTTTACAACTGATAGGGATGCAGAGGTTGTGAAGAGACTAGGAATGAAAAAAGGATTGCTGACTGAAATTAGATTTAAAAAAAAAATAAAGAGACTACTTAAATATTTTGGCTATATTAAAAGACTTAAAGCTCCTATAAAAAACTGTACTGGAGGGAAAGGCAGACAATGAAACAAGTCAGAGGATAACACCAAGAGACTGATATACAGCATTCTGAGACAATGTCTATTCATGGATTAAGATGGAGCATCTTAGAAATCCATTGCAGGAAGATTTCACTGTGGAGATGGTACCTGGTTTATTTAATTCTGTCTTTTTCTTCTTCTTGGCATTCATCGGCTGTAGACCCTGGTGGACAGTTCTGGTTATTTTTCTGCATCTAGACTTTAGTCTTGTTCCATAAACTAAATTTTTTTGGGGCATGTATTTTTGGTTTATTTGTATGCAGACTGGTGGTTTTTTGCCTCTCAAGCCTATGCACTCCAACTCAAAGGAAACCCTCACCCAATTAGTCGACTCTTACAACATGCTCATTAGGAAGGCAGTGGGTCAGTGTTCCCCCCCCCCCCCCCAGAAGGTGGTTCTGGAACCCACATGGGTACCTGACTGAATTGAATGACGTCACTGTACTGTATTTTATCCCATGAGACTTGATATGTATCTATAAAGCAGCTGTTCACTTGACAGTAAGTAAAAGTAAAGATCCCTTTTCACGCCTTAGGCGCATCGGGCATATGGGAAGAGCATCCCATATTTTTACAGACCAATCGGCACTGGATGGGTAATGTGGTCAGCATTACACCGGCCGTCTTTACTTCCCCAGGATAGCCATCCTGGTACCCATTTTAGGTTGGATCGACCTGCGACTCTCATACCATGATAAAAATCCATGCAGTCAGCAGTGGGTTTCACCGATAGTGTCACATAACATCTGGAATCTCTCTACCACCAATGATGATGACCAGGAACTTATTTGTCTTCTTCTGCATACCTCCTTAAAAGAGGTGTATGGATGTTGCATTGTGGTTTACAGCTTGGCTGCAAGATCTGCATCTTGCAGCCCAAAACATCATATGTTAATAAAGTCTCAACTACTTTTCTTTTACAACTTGCTTGTTAGGGGGCAGGTCTATTCTTGTCTTCCCCAAAAATGGGGTGATGGAACCTAGATGGGGATTACAGAACTGTAAAACACCTGGACAAGTACACTAAAGGACAGATTGTGAGGCAGAATCCATGACTTTCACAGGGTGAGGCAAACAGCTTCACCACTTCGCCACTGAGACCCCATGTCACCATGGAGACCCCTTGTCACCATGGAGATCCCCTACCCAATTCTTCTTCTGCACTTTATCATCCAGCAGTACAAAGACAACCAACATGTATCAAGTTATCTTATCCTTTGCTTAGAGCTTATTTTACACAATTGTCTCAAATCCTACTACCAATGCAGGTGCTACACATGAAAAGATCTGAGGTGAAAGCAAGAGGCCGCCCTAGAAGAAGATGGACTGATGACATTAAAGAGCTTCTACATCAACACGAAAGGACAAAAGCCTTTGCTGCCCATCAAGCAGTGGGTCGCAAACTGTTCCTCCCCCACAATGCTTAACGGCAGAAGTGGAAATTGATGATGATGATGATGATGTCTCTAATTTTCTTTGCAGTGTTTTTCTTTCCCCCTTATTTCTTCAATCATGTGGGTTCCATTGTAAAGACATTCTAGCTATACCATTATCAAGTTTTCATAGCATGTGTTCTATTCCTGAGTACCAGGATTATTTCCCTTCCAGGTTTAATGGAATTTATTTTGTTCTCTAAACAGATAACTCTGCATTAGTTGTTCGGTCACACCATTTAATTACTTCTATTCTGCAGGCACCAATTGAATTCCTGCTGACCATCTTAAATGAACCATCATGTCAAAAACCAACGCTTGATTGAATAGGTACAAAGTTTAAAGAAGAATAGGAATAAAAGTCCAGTTACATTGTTCTTATTTCATCAAACCATAAAGCCATATTAATGATGGAGTGGCTCAAATCTTCTTCTACTTCTCTGTCTTCACATAAAAGGGCAGTTAGCAAGCTGTGTTGCGGTTTAAAGCTAAGCTGGATTATCTGCACATTTCTGCCCAACACAACTGATTTCAGCGAATCACTAATTAGCCGCCTGTTATGACATGCTTGTTAGAGGAACACTGGGTCTACCCCCCCCCCCCCCAATCACTAATTAGCCGCCTGTTATGACATGCTTGTTAGAGGGACACTGGGTCTACCCCCCCCCCCCCCTAATCTCCTTTTCCAAATGGGGTCCCAGAACCCACATGGAGATTCACCTTGAGTAACCTGTCATTACATGATGACGACACTCGTGGTCCACAGAGCACATTTAAGGGGTCCCTGATATTATTTACGAAAAAATACTAAAATTTAGAATGCAACTTTTTTTTAAAGATTAACACTTTTAAATTATATTAAGTTCTTCAGTGTAGCTTAATTTAAGAAACAAAAAGACTCCTTAAGTCTTAGCTAAATAAGAGGCAATCAGTCAATCAATCAACTATGTCCTTTACAGAACATCACTCTCTTCATGGCATGCCTGAAATTCTCTTTTTCTCCAGCCACTTCTCCAGCCCTATGTGCTTCATAGTCAAGGCATCTTCAATGTCCTGTATCCACCTTCTCATAGGTCAGCCTCTACCTTGTTTTATACAAACTGCACTCTCCACCACGGTTTTTTCCAGACCCCCACATGCTTGATATGCCAAAATACCTCAGCTTTTGGGAGCCCTATGTGCTTCATAGTCAAGGCATCTTCAATGTCCTGTATCCACCTTCTCATAGGTCAGCCTCTACCTTGTTTTATACAAACTGCACTCTCCACAACAGTTTTTTTCCAGACCCCCACAGGCTTGATATGCCAAAATGCCTCAGCATTTGAGATAGGATGCTGTTTATGAGCCAGTTCTCCTTGATGGTAAGGCCGTGGAGGATGCTGACATTTAAATGAGAACCACTGTTTGAAAATATTACTAATTAAAGTTTTTCAACAATTTAATAATTTTATTTCCTTTCAAAATACACACCTTTGCCCTGGAATGCCATTTATACATCTCATAGGGCTTTTAGTTTATACTTTAATTCTGTCCTATTCTCTGCAATCCTTTTGACATCATTAGTGGATTCCATTCTGACACCTCTGGATTCTCATCATCATTCATCAGAGGTTTACTCTGCACATCCTTGCCTCTTCAATCCATTTGTTTCCGCTTTCAGTGCCTGTTTTGTCTTTGTTCACTTTATCCTAGAATGTGCCAAAAACATTACCGTTTTCTTTCTCTTAAAAAAATGATTCTAGTGGTTATCACTACATTTTTCTAATTATTTCACCTTTCTTGAATTCATCCCATTCAGTGTTCATCAATATTTTTGAAAAACGAATGCCTGAGGACATAACTCCATACTACAGTTACAATACAAATCCACTAACCATCTTTTTGAAAATTTAGAGTATAAAATCTGAGCTGTCACATTCCCAGAGTGATCATGGTTTCCAGCCACTAAATACCACGGTACTTGAAGTGATGTGTGGTTATAGACATCCTCAAAGGTCCACTTAACAAAAAATTATTGTTGTATTATTGTTATGCATGGTTTACAAATGACATGTTAAACAGCTTCTGAACAGTTCCGTCATATATCACACAGGATTTACAGTCTAGTTCTCCATTTTGATCTGTCCTGAGCAATCCTTTCTATATCATGGATAAAATTCAGTCCAGTACCTCTCACTTCTCTTGACAATGTTCATTTAAGGGTTTCTCTTGGACATCTTCACTGCCTCAAAATTGTTTGCCAGAACTGGTTAGTTTAGAGGAATGGCTTCCTTTCTCATGAGTTTCTGTAGCACATTAATTTGTAAGGGGTGGGAGAGCTAGTGCCATGCTTAACCCTCCTCCTTTCTCACTCAGGCTTGGGACTGGCAATGGCAGAGATTTTGAATACAAAAAATGCAAATAAAAGATTGAAGCAACAAAAAAAGAAACCACCAACCTTAGGTGTTAACTGTGCTAACAGAAAAAAGAAACTACTGTTCATTACCAAATTAATATCATAATACTGGACTGACCTTTAGGTGTTCCATTATTTATTTTTGTTACCTTTTACACCGAGGTCTTCAAATGTGTTGTTATCTTAACCTTAAGGATTATATTAGAAGGTCAAGAAAGAAAATATAACTCTTTTTTTTTTAAATCTGTCACTATTACATCCTGAACTGTGACTAGAAAATTTCAGTACCTTATTCTAAACTGTGACTATAAATTTTTACTATTCTGTCTTAAATGTGATTAGATTGTGCCATTTTCTTGCCCTAAGCTCTGACTAGACTATGTCAATAAATTTTCCTAAATTGTGACTAGACTATGTCTAGCAGTCCCTTCTTTTTTTCTTCTTTTTCCTTTTCTTCTTCTTTTTCTTCTTCTTCTTCCTCTTCTTCTTCACCTGCCTTCTAATCTCAGCTGTTGTTATCTTATCCTCAACTATCTTATCCTCTTTTCATAAACTGATATGACTATGTCACTATATTTTCATTAGATATCTTATCCTCTTTTTATAAACTGTGACTAAACTATATTACTATCTTATCCTTAACTATCTTAACTTCTTTTCAAAAACTGTGACTAGACAAAGTCTCTATCTTATCCTGTTTTCATAAATTGTGATTAGACTATGTCATGATCATATCTTTAAGTATCTTATCCTCTTTGCATAAGCTGTAACAATTTTAACACTATCTTATCCTTAGATATATTAATCTCTTTTCATAAAATGTAACCAGACTAAGTCACTATCTTATCCTCTTTTCATAAACTGAGACTAGACTATGGCCTTATCTTATCTTTAAGTATCTTATCCTCTTTTCATAAACTGTAACTATTTTAACACAATCTTATCATTAAACATCTTAAGCTCTTTTCATAAACTGTGACTAGACTATGTCACTATCTTATCCTTAAGTATCTTATCTTGTTAACTGGCTTCTCAACTATCTTAAAGGTTAAAAGGTTAATGTCGAGAGGATCAACTTCATTAAACCAGGTTTTATCCCATATGGCTCGGTCACTCTTTGCAGAACAGCTAGCCACCTGCCACGAGCACCACACAGTGCACGAACTCCATAGCTCCGGAGACAATCCCTAGGGATCTCTTCAAAAACTGCATTCATGAACTTAATGGCGCAGCCATAAAACGAATCCATGACTTTCAGTAGTCGAGGCGAACGGCTTGACCACTTCGCCACAGAGACCCCCCTCAACTATCTTTGCCTTAACTACACTATGTTACTAGTTTATCCTAAACTGTGATCACACTATGTCATTGTCTTGTACTGAAATGTAATGAGACACTCACTTACTAATCCTAAAATGTGATTAGGCAGAAGTGACCTATCTTGAGTTGTGGCAAAATTATGTATTGGACTATAGTGAATGATAATTAGCTTGTTACTGGTGTATCCTTGGCAGCAGCTTGAGATTATGGGAAAATTTTTCCACTGCTAAGAATCTGGTATAGAAACTGCAGCTAAGATATGACCAGCTCTCTTTAATTACGACACATAGATTAAGATTGTACATTGGTACAGATTAATTACAAGTTTCTATACCCGATTCTTAGCAGTGGAATAATTGGAGCTAAAAATAAAACCCAATACTGCCTAGTCCAGAGCTTCTTCCATCAAAGTTATAATTGATACTCAGATGAACAATCCTTTTTTTTTTTTCTTCTTCTTCTGCCTTCTACCCTCAGCTATTCATATATTCATTCATAATCTCTTCTGTCAGTCTCTTCTAACAGCTAACGATACACTAAACCCTCAGCTATCATCGATACACATTCACAGTCTCTTCTCTTCTGCTTGACACATGGATCAGGTCTGTGTACTTTTTCTACCAAATATAATGGTCAAGCCATCCAGGTATTCATCTGACTGCCCCCCCCCTTTATCTCTTTTCCCATCACTCACTTGGCATAAGTTATCTAATTTATTTATCTTTACAGCATATCCCACCACCACCCCCCCCCCCCCCCCCGCCCACCAAAAAATATATATATATATATATAATTTCATCTAATTTATCGGAGTCATGGGTTTTTACCTGCTACTGGATAGGCCCAAAGACAGTGGATGATGCCTCCTAGACAGTCACAGCTGATAAAGATCAGTTTCAATTTCATGCCACAGTATGCAAGTGCAAAAGAAAATGAGCACGCTGATAGGCTTGCAGGTAAGGCTAATATGCAGGGCAGGGCAGATGGGAAATAGACAAGGCTGATATACTAATTGCTATATGAGAATCAAGAGATGACTGTTAATCTGCAACTATGTCCAGGCTGTAAGAAAAGCTCGTTAAAAAATGGGTGCATTCAGACAAGAGAACTGCATAAAGTCAAACAAGAATAATAAACCAACACAGAACTGTTGTTGTTGGCCACTAAATTCTGAAGGAATTACTGAGGACAGGATCCATGCACTTATGAACTAAAATGTTTGATGTGAAATAAGGATGATCTTGCAACTGGATAACTAACTTGCTTCCTGGAGGACTGCCAAATTTGTTTTTTCGTTCTTTCACGATATTCTTTGCATTTTTCTCAAAAACCACATTTCCATTGCCACCAGATGCTTGTCTGTGTGTTTAATTATTGTATTATTACTTGAAAACAACAGTACAGGTTCTATAAAACAATTTAACATTTTGGTTTTCACTGCAAGTGACACTTTTTAATCAGTGACTATCTACTTCCTGTGGTTATCACCATGTTTGCAAAGGGGGTTCAAATGAATGATTTTTGACTGTTCAAGAACATATTTAATCTTGTATGAACTGTCCTTTGTTGAAGTGCTGCTATTTGTTCTCTGAATCCTTAGTAACCTTTTTTTTTTTGCGTGTGAATATGCTGTTGGTTTTAATGCAATAACCTACATTTCCATCAACATCTTCAACAACAAAAAAACAAATGCATAATGAAGACAATTTACATTTCAAGAAACAATTATCTTCCTTACCTGGAACCTCTTATCATGAACATTTGCAACACCTTTCATATAGAAATTATCTCCCAGTTCCAAGATGAACTGGGGCATGTATACGTCTGCTATCTTTCCCATTTCTTGAGCTGTGCAGCGTTGATAATATGTGCTGTAAGGTTCTATATCCAGGCCACCCATATCCCCAATGACAAGAAACCTCAGACTATCAATAGCTTGGCTTTCTGTGTAATAAGCAGGATTACCATTCCATTATAAACATAAATTACAAAATCAGGTGCCATATCTACAAAGAAAGTGTTTATAGTGGATCTCAAACACTCTTTCTTGTCTTGGATGTACCCGCTCTCAGACAACTGTTCTTCTTCTTTGTATAGTCCATGCCTTGTGCTGCTGATAGTCATATCTATCCAAAATCTTCTGCCTCACACACTTTCAGTCAACAGACAACTGTTCATCCATCTCTTAATGTTGTCCTCCCACTTGTACGTCTGTCTACCTATCTTGCTTATAACTTTTTCCTCTGGCATGGTTTTTGAAAAAGTGCTATGTCCGTGGCAGAAATAGTTCGCCCATCTCATTTCCTTTTTGTTTTTTTAAATAGCTTCCATTAACTCACTTTTCATTCAGTCACTCTAGACCAACTTGTGTTTGATTATTTATTTTTTTTTTTTCCTCATAAAATATGACATATTCTTCTTAGAAGTTCAACATGATTTCCTAGATCCTTGTTCATTGTTCAGGTTTCTGCACCTTATGGTAGAGCTGAGTGTGCACAACATTTGATAATTCCATTGTTAAAGTATTGTTTAACATTCCAAATGTCAATAATTTTAGCATCTTGTTAAAGTTTTTTTTTAATAGCCATTCCTATTCTCAGGGCTTATATTTTCTGGGGTGAGAAAGGTGCAGGTACTCATAACAAAGCTTCTAAAACTGGTACCAGTTCTCATCACAAAGTGTTCAAACAGTCGTACTGATGGGGACAAAGTGCTGGTTTTGGGAGGGGGGGGGGTGGGGTGGGGGGCTATAACTATTCTCTTTTGTATTTGTTTCACCTCTGCCTTTGTCTGTTATTACATGTCCAAGATTGGAGATCTTTTAACTTGTTCGAATATCTCTCCGTTTACTGTGATGTTCACTGTCGACTGCTCCTTTCCTCTGTTAATTATCATTGTTTATATAAAAAGAAATGAACAGATCTGGGGTTATCATCTACAAAGGTGAAATTTATACAGGCAGTAAGATACAAAGGTAAAAGATAAATACACAGTTGGATTCAAAGGTGAAAGATATACGGGCATTTGGATACAAAAGGTAAAAGATATACAGGCCGTTCGATAAAAGTGTGAAAGATATACATATACAGGCAGTTCATTACAAGGGTGAACGAACGAACGAACGAACAAACTTTATTTTCAAAGGGTTAAGAATTGGGCACGCAGGCCCGTCTAACATTCTGCCCTTCCACTCCGCTCCTTTCATACAATGCTTCATTTTTACCTCATTTCATAGTTAATAATAATAATAATAATAACAATAATAATAATAATAATAAAAAGAGGAATGCACAATTAATAATTTAAGAAATATAGAAAAGAAACAAAAGAACAAAAAAGAGAAAAAAAAAATTACAATATCTAAGTCTTAATTACAAATGCTGGAATGTGCTCTAATTTATACTGACATTACTTGAACGTTTTAAAGAGTATAATAATAAGCCTGTTCCAAAAATGATGTAAGTCTGACAGGCTGCATAATATAAACATCATCAAAACCAATGAAATATTAGTTACAAATATTGGAATGCATTCGACTGATAGACAGGTAGCTAGATAATAGGGTAAAGGTTAGACAGGCAGCTGGATAACTGGAGTTTGCCAAAAGGCAGTCATTTAGAATACAGAAGGAAATGTGAAAGGAAAGAATGCCAGACAGGTGAGTTTTGTTAAGTATACTTGACAACAGGACTGGCAGGCAATGATATGAAGAAACTAATGCATATAGAAGTGAAATGGCGTCTGTATATGAAGACAGTTGTTGAACACAACTGGATAGTCATGATCACTAATGAAAGAACACAGGTCTTTTTTTTTCAAATCTAAAAAATAGGGTGCCAGTACTCATCACAAAGCCTCTACCATAAGTGTCGCTCATCACCTCAAAGTGTCTATTACAGTACAAGAGCACTGAAAAATGATGTCTTAACTTTTGTTTTTGTGTGTGTGCCATGTGTGATCAGCTATTTTCTGAGTGTAACAAATATCAGTTGATGCATAATTATTTCGTTTAAGTGTGGTTTCGGCATCAGAAGAAATCTGGCTAAATGTTTCGATATGCAAAACATCAAATATAGCCAATTTACAAGTAATAAATTTATTCTATTTTATTGGGGTTATTGGTAACTTTGGTTCACATTTTCAGGAAACATTGGACTAAAAGAGCCAAAAAGGTGCTGGAACTGCATGCTGATTAGCCGTGGCGGAAAAAGGGTAGTAGACGAAAGGTGAGGAGAGGAGAAAAAAGTGGGGAAAGAGGAGGAGGAAGAAGAAGCAGGCAAAATGAGGAAGGGGGGGGGGGGGAGAAGCAGGATACGAAGAAAAAGAAAAAGAAGCAAAATGAAGTATTAAACTATCTTCACATATGTGTGTTTAAATGTTAGAAATAAGCAAAAGAATGGCAATATTTTTATTATATTTGGTAACAACTAACATTACCAGGAACTAATACACAAGGAGTAAGAAATAATAAAAACAAGCTGGACGACTCCATTTTGACTCGATCACGTGACCATGATCTTGTCCCGGAGCTAGCCAGAGCAGTAATTCAAAGACAGGAAAGGTAAAGGGCCATTTTAACTTTTGCCGCTCCGACCATATGGTGCTAGATCTATATTGTTATAGGCAAATCGATTAGGGGCACCAGAACCTATGGGCTTTGTTTGGGAGCCTCTACTAACTGTTAGGGGTGAACTTAGTGTGTACAAAAAGGTACCCGTATTTGCCACAAAGTCTATAGCTCGGTAGCGTTGGCAAAAAGAGGGGAAAAAGGGGGGGGGGGGAATTATGCTTTTAAAAAAATGTATCGGTACTGCGTACCGTTTCACATCGTCCCCCCACCGCCCCGTGTCTGACTGAGCCCGCCCTTTATATACCCTTCTCTCTAGAGAGTCATATGGAAATGACAACCCCCCCCCCCCCCCCCCCCATGTATAGACGTTCTCTATTGACTATTTTTTTAACACATTTCATATTATTTCAAATACATTATCATATTGTTTACCATTCAGAACACAATACTGACTATAATAATTACTATTATTATTGCACATTTAAACAAAGGTTATGCCGGTTAAGACAGCCCGTTCGTAGAAAATATGTTATTAGATTATTACCCACAAAAGTCACCCCTCTCGTCGACCGCGAGATTTCGTAGTGATTCCCACGGGCTGTCCTATGTTCTATGGGTGTTATGTCTTCCTTCGCCGTCTATACACATCGTATGGCAAAAGAGGTCGGGTTCGTTGACGCGGTGGACACACTGTCTTCCGATAAAAACGCGCAGATTTCTTCTCGCAACTATCTTTTCTGTGAACGACTGTTGTTTCATGAATGTGTTGTTGTGGGTAGGTCTCAGGCTACGAAGACGCCTGTGCGCAAGGAGAAATTAACGAATCCATATTAAATGGATCAATGGTGCCATACGAGAGTACAATCTTCCTAAATAAAAGCACTCCTCCAATTACAAAGCGGAGGCAATGGCGCTGGAGGAAGAGGTATTTATGTAACTCAACGACTGTAGCTCTGGCTATGAGTGAAAAGTAGTTATATTGAGAGATGATCGCTCAGTACTGCAGGTTATATAAAACAATAAGCAACTACAAATCAACGAGCTTGTATCTTTGTTGAAGGGTACATAATACTGAATATGTGCTGCAAACATGCTCTCTTCATGCAGTCTTCGTCTTCATTGCATTCACCGGCTGTAAAATCCGTGGGAAAGTTCTGGCTGTTCGTCCGCTTCTGAACTCTAGTCCTGTTTCAGAAGCTGAGTTTGCGGGCACATCCATTTCACAGTTCTTTCTCATTTGCATACAGACTGTTGGTTCCTTGCCCCTTAGGGCAGACTTCGAAAAAAAGCTCCTAATTAGTCGACTCTTACGACATGCTTAGGGGCAGACAGTGGGTCTATTCTTGTTCTCCCCACAATGGGACCCAGGAACCCACTCAGGGATGTCTTCACGCAATATGCAGATCCCATGTCTGGCCAGCTGACATTCAAGCAAACCAAGCTGTTTCAGTCAGTGTAGGGGGAGAAGGAGTAAGGGGGGGGGGGTGTGTGTCAAACCACGTCCGGCTGTATGTAATTATTGTAAACTGGCTTTTGCTTTGCTTCGCGAACACTGGCTGTAAACTCTTGCGGAAACTTCTTGTTGCTCATCGACTTCTTTTGCATATTTGCAGTAGTACGGCCTGTGTTAATTTTTGTAAACTGGCTTTTGCTTTGCTTCGCGAACACGGGCTGTAAACTCTTGCGGAAACTTCTGGTTGTTCATCCACCTCCTATGCATATTTGTTACCAAAAAATTCGCAATGATAAGGAATTGATTTCATCCAACAAGATGAAACTGGACAAATTTGTTTGTGCTGTTTGTACCTTGAGGATACATATTTAGTAGTGCTATAAGTACTGTTAAGAAAACTACTCTGGGTGAAAAAAAGTATTGCACATATCAATTTCATACTGATTGTGCTTGTTTACTAATTATTAAATAACAGTATAATTATATGTTGTAGTAGTCTACTAATAATAATAATAATCATCAATCATTTATATTTTTGTTATGTATGATATGTGTATGTTTCATAGCAGTATTTTTTTGCGCTAAATTTGATAAAGTACAAATGTCACCCCTCCCCTCCCCTCCTCCCTCCGCTCCTCTGATGCAACAATACCCTCTCAGAATCAAAGAGTTAGCACTGATATTTCTTAACTTTTGAAGGAACAACTTTTAGTTTACATCCAAACGTTATTGATGTTTATGTTCATGTTGACTGTGGCAAAAGTATTTTTTTTTTTTGGCTAAACCGGATTGCGCGGAGACCGGGTGACGAACTCCTTGTGGATCGGGTTCAATCCCGGGGGTAGGCAGAAAAGCCACATTTTCTCCCAGATTTACGGTATTTACAATGGAATCAATGCCGAAAGGTTGCGATATCCATAATACCGAGCCTAAGGGTTAACAACTCATGGCTTCTGGATACTAAAACAAACAAACATGACAAAAGACTGTCACAAATATCCTTGCATTGTTTTCCTGTTTCTTTTTCTCCCTCGCAAATTATTTCAGTTGTCACAACATGTCTCAGTGTTTTCCTTCTCATAACCTAGCCACAAAAGAACATTTTTTCCCCTCTGATATTTGTCTTCGGGCTCTCAACACGAGTATTTGTATTATTTTGTTGTCCAGGGAATTTTAAGCATTCTTCTATAAAACCACTTGTATTAGTAGTAGTAGTAGTAGTAGTAGTAGTAGCAGCAGCAGCAGCAGCAACAACAGCAGCAGCAGTTAAAAAACCGAAGTTTTTATTTTATTTATCTATGTTTTAATTATGAAATAAAGTATTTCCCCCTTTTCAGTTTTGGATATTTATGCTTATCAACCAGCTTTGATTTTTTTAAAATGTTGAGTTATAAGTTAAGAATCGACATCACAGCACTCGGGACATTAACACAATCTCCCCATACACATCCCCAGAAGCAAGCACGGAGTTTTAGTTCCGACGGTACCACTAACAGTCTGAGTGTGTTTGTCTTGCCCCTCTCCTGAGTGTTGAACGTCGACTAAATACCCTGGTCACCTCTCGCTGTACCATTCTCTTCAGACCGTGATGCTTTGTCTGCGTCTCCGCACTGCTTACTCGTTCAAACAAAAAAAGTCCTCGGAACATCTAGCCGGCAGGGCTATTTAACTGGCGGCCAGCGGGCCAAATCTGGCCCGCCATAGCCTAGCAAATGGCCCGCGGATCACTACTACTTGTATTGTATTTATGATCTTTCTTTGCTGGGGCAGGGGCCTCTGGTCCGTGACAATCCACATTTTTGAACATTATGACCCTAGAGTCAACTTAGTTGAATAGCCCCTAGCGTGTAATGAAATGCAACAGTCTACCACCAAGTGGTGCAATGCTAGTCTAACATTGTGTCCGTTTCTAAATTCACTGGCATTACTGGATAAAATAGCCAAAGGACGCTGATTGCTCGGGACATTTGAAGTGATTCTTGCTATTCTGCATGGTGCATACATGTCTTCATTGCATCTTGCATGTACCGTTATTATTGTAAAAGATTGTAGAAACATATATTGTTAAGTTAAATATATTCAGAGTTTTAAAATAATTGTATTGCAAAACCGCAACTCCGAGGCTAAAACCAGCACAAGAAAAAAAAACCTGGCACTTCCAGGTTGCATCATATTTTCACGGCAATACTCAGCTGTCCTGCTGCGTCCACCGCACATGCGTTGTTAGGTAAAGTACTGCTAAAGTCGCTGCAAATGTGTCGTACTTTTATAAATATGTACATTATATATAATTTTTCAATGCAAAAAAAAAATTTAGCAAGCAAAACTCTGTAGATTAGATTAGAAAATTAGTTATTTCGGTAGTTTTCATTTTCATAATTTCCGAATGAAAACCTGTGAAGTGTGACTTCACTGTGTCTCTCTCTGTGGGAGGCAGCTTAAGTATTAATAGTATTATTCACTATACACTTATACAGTATACAGCCTTAAGCTCAGCCGAGCTGTGCTGATTCACACGATGATTACATCCTAAAAATAATTATTAACAGAAACGGAGTTTCTGTAACAAGTGTGTGAAAGTTTGGCTTCTGACTCTGGATGATTTAGCATCAACAAAGATGCAAATGACACTTCTCTGGTACCGGATAAAGTTAAAAAACACACTCAAAAAAAAAAAAAAAAAAGTATATAGACTACCTTAGCCCTGCTTTGATAGATAAATACCGTCTAGGTCTTAGACTTAAGAGTGTAGACAACCAACTGATTTAGGAGTTAAAACAGTCCTCCAAGATTGTTCCAAATAAAAGGGCTCTTCTTTCAATACAGGCCGGTAGGTGGAAAGCCGCCGATCGGCTTAGTAGGAGTTGTCTCCCTTGGCTGCATTGCAAACACGGAGCGGAAAAGTCACGAATCAAATGACATACTCACCTATCATCATACGGTTGCGTAGTCATCATACGGTTGTGTAGGGTTAGGGATAGGGTTAACGGCGTTAGGGTTAGGGGTAGGGTTAGATGTGAAAATTTTAACGTAGGAGTTCCAAATAATGGCCGACAATCTGATGCTTGTGGGAGTGGCGCCACTGGAATTCTCCCAGATATGACGGCAATAGTGTGCAGCTGGTGCTCAATCGGTGGCGAATTGTCCATTTGAGTAGCATCCACAGTCCTTCGATTGTTTGGGTGTGTATGTGACTGCGCGATTATTCGGAACTCCTGCGTCAAAATTGTCACATCTAACCCTACCCCTAACCACGCAAATTTATCGGTCAGTGAGTCACACAGATCTGCAGGAGTCACATCCCTGGCAACTAACACCATGTTTACATATATAAGGATATATTTACTTAAAAAAAAAAACAAGATTTCCCCAAAGCGTCAAATAAACACCCAGATCTGGGGGACACAGCCAAGCATTGGCAGCCCTGTTGTTGACCTCACTGTCTTTTTTTATTCGTGACTTTTCCGCTCCGTGTTTGCAATGCAGCCAAGGGAGAGAACTCCCACTAAGCCGATCGGTGGCTTTCCAGCTACCAGCCTGTATTGAAGGAAGAGCCAGTAAAAGTATTTCAACATATCAAGGCAAAATTTTGTGTCAAGTCCAACATCAGTGCAAGTCCAACTTTACTGTCTGAGTAAATTACGTGAATTACAAAAGACTGAAGTTTCGACTCTCCTCCGAACTTCTACCTCATATTATAGCAGCCAAACAAATACCCTAACAGGGCCTCAGTCATGTGTAAAATGCGGACTTCCTGCGATGAACACATCGCAGCAAAACTAGGACTACTTGACAATTTCAAGAGACTCAACACTGCAGACGATAATAGGGATCGTTGTTAATTTCGAGAGTTTCTGCAGATGATACTAGTGACTATTGACAATTTCGAGACACGCAATTTTACAGGCGATAAAATCGACATGGGGAGAATACGCCCTCCGACGCAGATTAGCGATAGTGTTCTTCCGATTAAACTCACTGCCGAGCGTATCCCCCTCGCCACTATGCATGGCGCGGATGGGGATCTAAACTAGATTCCTGGGACTTACGAGCTAATAAATTGGAGGAAGTGGCAGGAGATGCGGTAGCTGCTGCTCGTGAGTCCCAGCCATCTAGTTTAGCCTCCCCCATCCGCTACGCACGGCGCGGGGGATACTGTTGGCGTTGCAGAATAGTCACAGAAACAAGACCACAATTACATAACGCTGAGACCCTGTTAAAGCATTTGTTTCGTTATTTGGAGCCAATCCTAGTTTTGTCATGATTTGTTCCTCGGCAGGAACTCCAAATTTTGCATTAGACTTAGGCCCTTTTAGGGTATTTGTTTGGCCGCCATGATATGGGGTAGAAGTTCGGAGGAGAGCCACTAGAGACAGTGTCATTGTAACTGACTCACAGAACATGTTGAGAAAGCTGGAGACAGGCATGCTCTCTGCAGAGTGGCAAGCATCACTTCAACAAAGTTTCAGGGTAGTTAGCAACCTTTGGATATTTTCTGCAGGGTATGCCAGTGATTTTGCTCAGAACATGTTGAGAAAGCTGGAGACAGGCATGCTCTCTGCAAAGTGGCAAGCATCACTTCAACAAAGTTCCAGGGTAGTTAGCAACCTTTGGATATTTTCTGCAGGGTATGCCAGTGTTTTGGGCAATGAGCAGGCAGTCATACTGGCCAGTTGCATGGAATTTTTAAACATGAAACTATTTATTTTGTGTATTAGCAAAATATTTTTGTGTCAGTGAGACTTTTAAAGTTTATTTGCAAATACTGTTTTCAGATTTTGACATCAGAAGATTCAAAACATAAAAAAATGGTTCTCACATGTCGCTTCTACAAGAACAGATTTCCAGAAATTGAGGATGTAGTGATGGTAAATGTCCGGTCCATTGCAGAGATGGGAGCATATGTCAAACTGTTGGAGTATAATGACATTGAGGGTATGATTCTCCTCAGTGAGCTGTCGAGGAGGCGAATTCGTTCCATCAACAAACTTATCCGAGTGGGACGCAGCGAATGTGTGGTTGTTATAAGAGTTGACAAGGAAAAAGGTCTGTACTGTTTTACTTAGTTATAATCAATGTTGATCGTTTTAACTAGCCTAAAATTTTTACGGGTAATAATATGGGTGCCAATTGGTATGTTCAAATAAGAATTTAGCATCATGTGCCAGATGCTCGAGTGGCATAAACACTGTCTTTTACTTACTTAATTGTCTTATAAGGTTTAAGCTTTTGTCTATGGGAATTAGGAGTGACTTAGAAGTATAATAAGTTCAAAGGTCACATGATGAACATTTGGAAGGGTTGAGTGGCTTGAGGTAATGTCGCTTTGAAATCATATGAAATAGAGTAAAGGACCCTTTTTCTCACACCTTCAGCATATTGGGAATTAAGTGCTAGACCTATATTTTATAGACCAATCATCAGTTGGTGGGTGATGTGGTCAGCATCACGCCGGCCGCCTTTACTTCTCAGGACTTTACCTCATAACTTCTCGAGGCTGGGTCGAAATGGGAGCTGAGGTTATTTTTGAAAGTCCAGCTCTATCAGGACCTGGATGCATGACCCTATGATCAGCAGGCGAGCATCTATATATATATATATATATATATATATATATATATATATATATATATATATATATATACAGTAAAACTGCTATTAACCGTCCGGACTAGGGCTGCGAAGGATAACCAGATAGACAGATAACAGGAGTCTCTTTATACACATGTAAAGTAAAGGACCCTTTTCCAAGCCTTTAAGCATATAGGGCTAGACCTATATTTTTATAGACCAATCGGCACAAGATGGGTGATGTGGTCAGCATCACGCCGGCCGCCTCTATTTCCGGGGACTGCACTCAAGGCTGGGTCGACCTGGGAGTCAAGGTCATTTTTGAAAAAAGTCTGGCTCCGCCAGGTAGCGAACCCACGACATTCCGATCCGCCGCGAGCGTCTAGCCGCTCGGCCACGGCGACTCCCATACACATGTACAGTAAGGTGATTTCACCGTGGGCTTTGAACAAAAATGAAATCCTTTAAAAGTGAATAATACATACATATTGTATTTAATTTTACAATATTTGATTTGATTTGATTCAAGAACTGACATCGCAGCACTCAGGGCATTCCCATAAGCGCTCTGTCCCCATCTTCAGCAGCCAGTGAAGAGTTCCGATACTAATGGTGCCTGTAGCATTCTGATTAAACATCCATCTTGCCTTTCCTCTGAGCCTTGAGCATCTGCCAGAACCTCTCATCACTCCCCCCTGCATCAATCTCACCAGACTGATGATCCATCTGCTCCTCTGAACTGTACACACTCTCCCACAAGGCACTAACCAATATATATATCATAATAATACAAACCCTCATTACTTAAAAATAATCTTTCATCTTCTTCTAAAAATAATTTGTCTACAATTTTAAAGATGTCTGTCTGTTGATACTCAGACATATATTAAAGACAGTGGTGGATAGCAGAACCTAACTGTTAAACTAGTGAGGCTTAATCAAACTTTGACTCTACTGGATATAAATAAATCATCACTGTGGAATTGTGGATTTTTACAGATTTCGCACGGCAAAGAATTATAAAATATTTGCACATGTTAATCAGTCCTTAGCATTTGAAGGTTAAAAAAAATATGTTGCTAGCAGGTTAAATGAAAGTCTACCCACAATCTACCATGTTTGCCCTCACAGTGGTGACTGGCATGCTTCAATATATGCGCCCTTAGGTCCAGCACATCTGATGTTAGCCAAATCTTAATTCACTACATTTTAGGACATGCTCAAAAAGGGGTGGGCAGAGGTGACAGTTAATGACAAAATATTAAAGGGCTTGCCATTGTTGCAGTTTATGCACTGTTGACAGCTTTCTAATGTTCGAATCCCAAAAAAATGTCAGTATGTTTTCTTTTTTGTTTGTTTCATTATACTGAATGGGCAGGGTATATGATGATGAGATAGAAACATTATGAGCGTTATTGTGTTTGTGCTTGGTTTATATAAATCCCGTCTGATTGGTCTCTATGTTGCAGTGGTCAACAATGCCTGTTATGTTAATGAATCTACCCCTTGATTTCTCTTTATAGCAAAATGTGCCCTTTTACTTTTGTTGTGGATTTTTTTTCGGACCCATTCTTTGGTTCAGGATTGCAGGTAATTTAGATTCATGGGGTTGTTGAAGCTGTGTAGTTTCGTAAAACAGCCTCTGAGTGATTGGCTGCTCTGCAGAGAGTGACTGAGTCATGCGGTGCAAAACTTGGTGCTATGAGTTTGATCCCTTCACCAGTAACATTTTAAACAAGTGATTAAGAATGTTCTGCTAGGGGATAAACCAATTTTGATATTTTTATATTTTTCAATTACTTTAGGATACATCGATTTATCAAAACGTCGAGTCTCACCTGAAGAAGTGGTCAAATGCGAAGAGAAGTTTGCCAAAGCTAAAGCCGTAAGTACATATTTATAATTTTTTTTTTTGGGGGGGGGGGGGGGGGGTAAAGTTTCCGTTTTCTTTACATAAACTGGCTTTACTTTTAGAAATTATTTCTAATTTGTCACAGTGGTCTCCAGCGGCCGGATCACGGTTAAAAAAAAAAGTCAAGGTGTTAAATTTATTCAACCTCAGGAAGATGTAACCCAGCTGCTTCTCTGCTGTATTTGTTTTAACTGATTACCCTATTTCATTACTGCATAATTTGTTTGTTGAATCTGAAATTGTAATGGCTTGTTGAATCTAAAGTTGTAATGGCTAGATTTTTTTTTTTTTTTTGCGAATGCTGAAGAAAAACTTTATATAAAGAAATATCCTTTTCAAGAAAACTGATATCCCTCCCTCCAAAATATGAATTTTTTGAATTGTTTTCCTACCTTGTTCACCGGTGCAAAAGTGTTGAATCCCTCAGCAAGCTCCCCAATTAAGTAATGGAAATTCAGGATATGTCTCTTTAAAGTTTGTTTTCAGACATAATTTGCATCAATTTCATGTACTCACTTTTGCAGGTCAACAGCATATTAAGACATGTGGCTGAACTTAGAGGCTTCAAAAGTGATGAAAAATTGGAGGATCTCTATGAAAAGACTGCCTGGTACTTTGATGCCAAGTATGGCAAGCCTGGTGCTTCCTATGAGGCATTCAGACTTGCAGTTCAGTGAGTAACTTTCTTGCCTTCAAACATTTTAAAACTCAGAGGTATCTGGAGTTTACATTGAGCATGTTAATAAGCAGTTGGAAGTCGTGGAGTAGATGTTAAGACTGTCTTGGGAAAATCCTAGAATTAGATATTATAGATCCTTGTGGCTTCCAGGGCGCCACTATTGGGGAAGAAAGTTTTACACCAAGTGCCCGTTAACAAGTATAAGAGTCGACTTATTAGGGGTTTTTGATGCCTGAGTTATTAAACCACTATTAAAAACCATACTAGTGTCTAATAGACAGTCCTAGAAAACACCAAATTACTCATATGAGATATGTATAAGAAAAGTGGTGGAAAAAAAACAAGAAGAGACGATTCGCCATTTGAGAACAATGGTTCAATGGAACAACAGTTCCAGCAAACATTTTCATGGAAAATTAGTCACATGATTTTGTCATCTGAGCGGAATGGAACAAAATCAGCCAGAAGCTGGAGCGTACTACATGAGAACAGCAGGCTGCAAGGCATGAGGCAGATCAAGAAAGAGAAAGGTCAGGGTTATAAACTTAACTAAAAATAGCTTGGAAGGGGGGGGGGGGGTCCTTTGATAGAGGCTATGGCAGGAATACCCGATGCATGTGGTTTTTTTTTAGTCCCTAGGGATGTATTCAATTTATTGCTTGAACGTGTTTATGTTTATTGACTACTTCTTTCTTGTATATTTTAAACAAAATTCAAAACTGTAAAAAAAAATTGTTTATGAATTTATTAGTGACCTGTATTAAGTTTTTTTTTTCTCACAATTTTTTTTTCTTTCTAGAATTCAAACGGGCCATGAACTGGTTTAACTTTGTTGTATTAAAACATGTTCTCACTAAGCGTTACCTGTGGGCAATAATAGAAGTTACAGACTGGTACTGAAAGAGTTTAATGATGAGTATATTTACGGAAGACGTATATATGCAGGAAATTAAGAATACCTCATCTATGATTAAATGTAGAAAACAAGTTGCTTATAAGTTTGTAATTATTCACATTTACCTACCATGTTATTGATTTTACACCAAGTGTCTTCCCATATTTGTTGCAGATGAGATCAGTTGCATACTGTTGGCCTTTGTTGGTAACATTTCCTTATCTTTTTCTGATAGGAACCCCAATGTGCTGGACGAATGTGATATTGATGAGGCTACGAAACAATGTCTACATGACAATATTTGTCGCAGGCTAACTCCCCAGTCAGTGAAAATTAGGGCAGGTAAGTTTGTCATTGTGTGTTATTCAGATGCATAAGGGATTGTCCCTAAAGGTGAGCCAGTGAAATTAAAAAAAAAAGGGTAAATGTGACATTAGTGGGGCTACTAAAACGTTGTTTACATCGAAACATTTGCTACAGGCTAGTGCCCCATTTAGTTAGGGCAGGTTAGTGTGCGCTACTCCGGAGAGTCATTGCAGGAAATGTTTTAGTAATTGTGTAAAAAGCACTAGATGTTTCTTCTTTGTTTGGTCTATGGTGTGATAGCTTGTGCCTGTTTACATGAGTGGCAATATCCATGCCTTTTGGCTGACACGTCTGACCTCTTGTGGTCATTTATTTCCAGTTTGAGCCGAAGATTGCAATGACCAGCAGACAAAGACAGGTGCCCAGGGTGGCTAATTTTGTGATGAACATGTGCTCAGGTTGAATATGTTGTTTAAAATGCTCACTTCTTGATAGATACGGGTCAAAACATTTGTTAGCATTTCTTCTTTTCCCTCCATACGCCTCTTAGTCATAGTTTGTTTTCTGAATTAATTTCTTGATATTGCTTTGAAATATTGAACAAAACATAAAGGAGGCATACGTGTGTGTAAAAAAGTTTGGATGTAGAGAATCCAGTAGATATGTTTGCTCATTATATAATTTTAATCTGTGTTCTCATTTCAGTAGTGTTATTGAAATTTATCATCACCCTTCACTTTTGCAATCAACTTTCCTGGAGATTACTTCTCATTTTCCTTGTGTGAGTTCCAGGCCCTATTAGAGGGAAGACAAGAATAGACCCACTGCCTACCCAAAATGCATGTCGTAGGAGTCAACTAATTGGGAGCTTCATTCGAAGTTGGAGCGCATCAGCCCGAGAGGCAAGAAACACACAGTCTGCATACAAATCAGATCTGTAAAACTGAAGCACATGCAACACTTAGGTTCTGGAGCAGGACTGCAGTTCAGAAATGGACAAACAACCAGAACTTTCTGCCAGAGTGTACAGCTGGTGAACGCAAAGAAGAAGAAGTTTCTGTTATCATATATATCTTGGCCTATAAAACCTTGCGCAGGTACACATAGGACCAAAATTAACTATTGTTTTTTAAGAGCTAGTCTCTATCGACGTGGCCAAAATTTCAGCATTTACAGGATTATGTCACAGCCTGAAGCGACTACATTTAATCTTAGGCCGACAGGGTTAAAGGGTTAACAGTTTATTCATTTTTCTGTTTTTTTTTTTAACTTTACCTCATTGAGAAAAGCTAGAACTAGATCATCCATACTGCATATTAACACATGTTCATTCTTGATTGTCGCAGATGTTGATGTAGCTTGCACTTACTACGAAGGTGTGGATGCAGTTAAACGAGCTCTCAAGAAAGGCCTAGAACTGTCAACAGAATCAATGCCAATTAAAGTACGTAGACCTAAATACTCAGGACTTTCTGATTTACAACCTGTTGTTTCTTGTCTTGTGTGTGTGCATGCCCTTTTTTATTTGTATTGTTTTTTTTTTTTTTTAAATTTTATAGCCTACCTCTTCTCCATAGTTTCAGGCATGAAAAATAGTTGTGACAGGATCTACTAAACATCTGCACTTGCAAACTGAGCGACAGTCTGACACCAAAAAAATGTCAGAGCATAAAGTAAGCTGCTTAAACTTGGCACAGATACCCCTCTTCTTTTAAATGAACATGAAAAATATACAAATCTAAGCATTTTATTATTTACACATTTTGTGATTTCTGCCTGCAGATTAACCTGATTGCTCCACCTCTGTATGTGGTGACAACTAACACATTAGAACGTACAGAGGGCCTGGAAAGGCTGAACAAAGCCCTGCAAGCTATCAAAGAGGAGATCACTGCTGCCAAGGGAGTGTTCAATATTCAACAAGAGGTAGGCTTTTTGTGCCTGTGTTGTCTGGTTTATCTTTGTGTTTACACAGCAGCTTTTTATTTTCTCTCTTGTGAGTCTTCTGTCACTTTTGTGCCAGGCTGTCCTCTTTTATGTCCCATTCCATGGCTGCTATATTAGTCATCACTGTCTCTAATGATCTTTTCTATGTTAAAATTAAAAGGTTGAAGTCAAAAGGATCCACTTTATTGCTTTCTCTATCTTCCCTCCTGTAGAATGGTTAGACCAGCGGTTCTCAACCTATGGGTCGCGACCCTTTCACAGGGGACCCCAAAGACCATAGGAAAACACATAATCACTGAAGTTATGAAGTAGCAACCCAAACAATTGTATGGTTAGGGGTCGCCACAACATAGGGAACTATATTAAAGGGTCACCGCATTAGGAAGGTTAAGAGCCACTGAGCTAGGTGCCTCCTGAGATCATTTCACAAAGCAAAATCTCTGTTCCTCTGGTGACAATCCCCATGTGTCTGTAAAAATTGCACCCATGAACAAAATTGCATAGCAGCAAAATGAACCCACTACCTCTAGAGACTGAGGCTTGCCACTTACAACAGAGACCCCCACAATGTATATTCCATGATAAAGTCAAAGTTAAGGTAAAGTCAACGTTGAAATCCAGTGGTTAACTTAATGGCAAAGGATTTTAAACCATAGGCTCAGTGTCTCTCCACAGACCAGCTAGCTGCATGCTGATAATGTCAGCAAACTCTGCAGCTGTGGTAATGCTCCCCAAGCTTTTTTTGCTGTGTTGTTTGATCGCCCTCTATTTCATCTGCCTTATATGCCACATGTACTTTCAGTTACTTCTGATTGTGTTGCCATAATGTCAGACTGACTGTCCAGCATTTTATCTCTTTGTCTCCCTCTGTTCCCCCCCCCCCCCTTTTCCATTGTCACTTTGTACTCCAGTTTTCTCCTTCTCATGACACAACCAAAGATTGTAGATTGTCTCCTTCTTGTGTTGACACTACGTTCTCTTTGTTGGTCAGTTCCTTTCAAGACATCTTCATACTCTATCTGTCCAGGGTATACTACTCATCTGCAAAACCACATCTCGGCTGCTTCCAAATAATTTTCAACCTCGACTGCTGAGCACTTATTTTTTAAAAAAAAGTTGCATGCTGGTTATCAGCTGAATGCTGCACAGGAGTTAGTTGTTACCCACAGGTTCATTATTTCCATTGACTGTACTCACAATTACACTGTTTCCATTGACTACTTACAATTCTGTTTTTTCTTTTGACCTTATTGACAAGTTCATTTTTTACAGGTTCGTTATTTCCATTGACTTTACTCACAAGTTTATTGTTTCTGTTGACCTTACGCAAGTTCAATTTTTTCTATTGACCTTACTCACAAGTTCCATTTCTTCCATTGTCCTTACTCACAGTTCCATTTTTACATTGACTTTACTCACAAGTTTATTGTTTTCATTGATCTTACTCACAAGTTCCATTTTTTTCTATTGTCCTTACTCACAAATTCATTATTTCCATTGACCTTGCTCTCAAGTTCCTTGTTTCTATTGACCTTATTCAGTTTTATTGTTTTCATTAAAGTCGTTTATCCATTGTTTCTGAGAATCTGAAATACTGCTGTTGCTTATTGATTCGAGTTTCTTGCTTAAGTTTACTGCAGGGAAAACAATTTACGGAGACATATTTACAGATTTAAGAATCAACATTGTATCACACAGGGCATACCAATATGTGCCCCGTCTCCTGCAGCAAAATCTTCAGGTGTGAATACTGACTTCTTCTAGCACACAGATTATACACACATTGCTCTCTTCCTTTTCTGTGACTCTCCTGGCCAGAGTAAAGCCTGATTCCTGATTCACACTTTCTTACACATGTTATTACATCTAACCTCAGTCTTCTATCAGTATTCGTTCATAAATGGTCTTCAAACAGAGTTTCTATGAAGCTTTTTCGCTTTTCTCTTCACATAAGCATTACGTTAGTCCCACATATTTTTATTATATAGCTCATAAAATACATTGATTGTATTTCTGTTATCAGGCCAGAGTGGTTTCTGACATGGATGAGATTGAACTTGAAAAGCAGCTTCAGAAATTGGAAGAGGCCAACCAGGAGAGAGCTGGGGATGAAGATTCTGATGCTGACGAAGATGGCGAGGAAGATGGTGAGGATGATGACCTCACCATTAGCAAACCAGATGAGGAGGCAGATGTTGATAATGGAGTTGATTAGCACAGTCTAATTATTTGTACACATTGAATCATGTTTGGCTGAGAAATAGACATGTTGAGTCTCAGATTGTCTCTCTGACTTTGCAGTTGTCACTGTTTCTGTCTTGTGTCGTTCTTATTATTATTGTGGTTCTTTTCTTTCTTTCCTATGCAGTTGTTTTACATTAATACAAGTTTAGATTATAAACTGTGAGGTTGGGAGTTTAAGTAACAACAGTGGGGAAATAATGGGTTTATGTGACACCAAGAGTTGTGTGCGGAGGAGAGGTCAGATTGCCCACCCTTCTTACATGTTATGGGATGAGTGGTCAGACCTTGGTCATCCTGATCATTCTGTTGTACCAGCTAACATCTATACATCGGCTGTGGTGTGGCAAGACCAACGGTCTTTATTCCACACCACCTGTGGTATGATTGCTGCCAGTAGTGGCAATAAAGAAAGCTGATTACCATACTAAATCATACTATGGCCTAGTATGTATGAAAGCTTAATATCAAGTAGGAATTAGTTGTAGGCACAATAGTGTGTCATATGTTGAAAGAGATTTAATACGCCAAGCTAATGAGAGGAAACATCTGAGGGAGAAACCATTCTCAGTGTAATAGAGTATCAACATTTTAATGCATTTTAATAACAAGCCAGATCTGTAAAATGGACGTGCATGCAAAGCTCAGATGCAGGAACTAGAAGCAGATGAACAAACAGGAACGTTCCCCAGGAGTTTATATCCAGTCAGTGCTCAGAAGAAGAAGTTACTCCTTAAAGGCGTTTGGCACGCTGTGTTGAGGTTTGCAGAAAGGCTGCAATATTTGCACTTTTTGGCTGTCACATCTGATTGCTGCAATCTCCCAATTACTTTTTACAACATGCTTGTTAGGTGGCAGTGGCTCTATTCTTTTTACCCCAGACTGAGTGGAGGGGGGGGGGGGGGCAGAACCCACCCTGGAAGGTACAGTAGTGGGTTATAAATATATAGGTACAATATTTGTCATGAAAGTTATATATATTTCATGTTGTATATTCCAGCTAAAAACATGTCAATTTAATGTGAAACTTTTAAAAACAATAAACATGTCTTTTAACCATCTCTTTGTTTGACATCTTTTCTTGGTACTGTATGAATTCGCACAAAGATTAGGAAGGGAGTTTGATATGACCTTCAGATTGGGTGGTTGGTGTGAATCTTCAGGAAGATTATTTGACTGAATGTGAATCTTAAGGAAGATATAGTTAGTTGGATTTAAATCTGCAGGATTTGTTGGATTGAATCTTCAGGAAGATGTGGTTTGTTGTGTGTGAATCTTCAGGTAGATCTGGTTGACTGGAGGTCAATCCACAGGAAGATTTGATGTGAGTCTTGAGGAAGAATGGTTAGTAAGATTTAAATTTTGAGGAAGCTTGGTTTGTGGGTGTGTATCTTCAGGAAGATTGGTTGGTTGGATGTGAATCCACAAGATTTGTTGGTTGGCTGGAATTTTTATGAAGATTGGTAGCTAAAATGTAAATCTTAAGGAAAATTGGATGGTAAAATATAAATCTTTTGGAAAAATAATTGGTAAAATGTAAATCTTTAGGAAGATTGCTTGGTTGTTGTTATTGATCCAGCGGCGCATGAGCTTTCGCCCTCTGGCCCAGTGCCTTGTAGTGGAATTTGCATGTTTTCACAAGCTGTTCTTTTCCTCTGTACAATGTGTTCCAATTGTCTGGTCTCGGAGGGAGTAGCATTCATCTAGTCTCACTGAGTTTTGGGCACTCATAGAGATGGTTGTTCAACAGTTTTGTAGGTGTAGTTACATAGCTGGCACTCTGGGGAGTGTTGTGGCTGTATTTCTGTTTAGATGTCCACTGAGTGGAGTATGTTGCGTTCTAAGTCTGAAGATGGTGGCCTGGTCTCTTCTTGTTAGATGGTTAATGCTGTCATTAGGATCAGGACCAGCCACATGTCTATAAACCTCTCTTCCAGTGTCTCCCATGGCCCATCTGTTCAACCAGGTCTCTTTGTTTATAGCTCTTATAAGTGTTTTTGCTGTCTGTAGGGTTGTCGCTGTAGGTGGTTGTTCTTGTGTTGCTCCTTTCCTAGCCAGTCCGTCAGCTCTGTCATTACTTGGTGTGCTGGAATGGCCTAGAATCCACTGCATCACTATTCTGATGAGGTAATGAGCTGATCAGCATCCAGAATTATCTTGGCTATGTCAATTCTGCAGACATTGAATCAATGAAGATAACAATATTTTGGACCTTTAAAGGGTAAACATCCATTACAGTCTTAGGGTGGTATACTTCTGTTTCCAGTGCAATTATTTCAGCTTCATAATTTGACCCGAATTCATGCATCAAAAATCTCTTCAACAGATCCATCGAGATAACCCATGTAGATTCCGTAACCTGCTTTAAATGCAGATCCATCAGTATAAACATGTATCCATTCTTGGGGGTAAGAATCAACGGTCTTTAGCGATGAGTTCATAAGGGCGATTGGGTCGGACTGTTTGGTTTCCTCGCCTACCAATTTAATTAGGACTTCTGGAGCTTTAAAGCGAGCATGTGGTGGTAGGTTTCTTGCAACATTCTGAATGCCTTGACGTTTTTCTGGGAGGTGGTATCTGTCCTGTATTTAATATACACAGTGTAAAACCGATCTGTGCTTTATTCTTTGTTTGTATTCCCAGTTTTCTACGAGGTGTCTATTAGGATGGTTACGATTAATTCTAATGCATCTTTCATATATTTCTAAAATGGCCTTTTCTCTCCGCAACCCGGGGGGTTCCACATTTGTATGGATTTTACATGCAGCAGTTGAGTACACCGCACAGCTCCACAGATTAATCGGAGGGCATTATTTTGTACTCTGTCAAGAGTCTCTAGGTTAGTTTTGGAGCAGGTTGTAAGCAGTGAGTTGTACTCTATCACAGAGCTAACATATCCTAGATATAAGCCCCTCAGAGTTTCCTTGTCTGATCCCTATGATGTACCTGCAAGTCTCATTAATAACTGTAACCACCCCAATGCCTTATTCCTTATGTTTTCTATGTGGTTCTTGAGGCTGAGCTGCCGGTCAAGTGTGACTCCAACGTATGCAGGATGCTCTTCGTTTATCACTTGGTATCTGTCTAACCTCAGGTTAATATTCTTTCTTGTCACTTGATGGCTTTTGGTAAAAATTGTGTAGACTATGTTTGTATAGTTGACCTTGAGTTTTCATTTTTGGCAATACTCATGCAGTCTTCTAAGGTCTCCATTTAGTCTTTGGGCTCCACTTTTTACATTTTCATGACTCTGCCATATTGCTAGATCATCAGCGTAAAAGGCCTTTTCGGCCTTGATTTGTTCCGGCAAGTCATTGATAAAGATTAGAAACAATGTACAGCTCAATGATGAGCCTTGTGGCAGGCTCTACTCCAAGACTTCTTTAGATGAGACTGCGTTGTGCATCTTAGTCTGGATTGTTCTATCTATCAGAAAGTATTTCACCCAGTTATACAATCTGCCATGTATGTTCATCATCCTTATCAGGAGACCTTTTCTCCATACTCTGTCATAGTTGAACAAAGATGACCACTGTATGCTTCTTATTCTGGAAGCTGTCATAAATTCTTTGTGTCTGAACAGCTGGTCTTCTGTACAGCTGTTGGTTCTGAGGCCTGCCTGTTCATGGCATAGATCACCAGAACTCTATATAAACCAATACAAACGCCTGTTTATCATTCTTTCAGCAACTTTGTCAATGCATGATGTTAAGGATATCGGGCGGTAGCTTTTGGGGTCGTCTGGAGGCTTTTTGGTTTTTATTATGGGGACGATAAATGCATTCTTCTATTCCTTTGGAAGTTTGCTTGATATCAATGTCTTATTAATTAGCCTGAGAACTACTTCTCTCATAGACCGGCCAAGATGTAGCAGCATTTTGTTGTGGATCTTATCTGAACCTGGGGATTTTCTAGGTTTAATTTATTCAGGGCGTGTTCTAATTCATCCGTGCTAAATTCATCTTCAAAAAGGGAGGAATCGCTGGCTGTTGGAGCTGTCTCTTGTTTTTTCAGCTGAGAGCTGTGTTCTATTGAGTTCTGATAGAAGATTGCTTGGTAAAATGTAAACCTTTAGGAAGATTGCTTGGTAAAATGTAAACCTTTAGGAAGATTGCTTGGTAAAATGTAAACCTTCAGGAAGATTGCTTGGTAAAATGTAAACCTTTAGGAAGATTGCTTGGTAAAATGTAAACCTTTAGGAAGATTGCTTAAAAAAATGTAAATCTTTAGGAAGATTGTGTAATTAGATGTGTATCTTTAGAAAGTTTCGGATGAGAATCGAAAAGATGTGCTTGGCCACTGGCCACATTACCTAAATGCAACACATCACAGACAGGACTAATAGATTGTGAAACATGATTACTTATGCTTATTGGTTGAACACATTTTATCCATCTACATTTAATTTGTCTAGTTTTTGTGTGGTTTTATCACCTTCGGAATGACAACCCTTTTTTTGTTTTTAGTTAGCCATTGCATTTTTCTTCCTATAGTCCACTCTGCATGGCATTCGTAGTCATGTCTATCCACAACATCCCGTCTCGTGTGCTTTCATTCAGTTCTGACACTTATGGTGTTCTTTGTCATGATGTCAAACTGCCCAACATCTTCTGTCATCTGTCTGTTTCTGCCTCTTTTCCCAAAACATTGTCCCACTATCACGATGTACTATAACTTTCTGCTGACATCAAATGATTACCGTCCACGTACCAGATCTGCCTCACAGTGTGAAATCTATAAAGTGCTTCATCATGATCATCTATTTGTGCTATGATAGGGTTTTCAGTGTAGTTCTTCACTCGGTTTTGTCCTGTGCAATCTTTCGAACTACAATCAATCAAGTACAAGAATTCAAGTATCTAGGAAGCATATTTACAAAGGAAGGCAGAGTTGATAGAGAGATAACAGCAAGAGAAGGAAGTTAGCTCCACTGCTTAGACACCCAAATGTCTCCCTTCCAGCAAAATAGCATCT